TAGGCGAAAGTATGCTAAATTATCTAGTGGAGGGGGAGCACTTGGATTGTATACTCGAATTGAAGGGGAGCATTCTTTCAAGGGGGGGAATGGGAGAATGAATTAAGATGTTGAGGGGGAGCATCTAGTTGAGGGGGAGCAACAGAATCAAAATAAGAGTGATACGATAAGTCTTGATTTAAATGATGAATTTTGACGAAATTAATGATAATCTTTCTGTTGTAGGATCAGAAAATGAAGATTTATACGAAGATGTATATTTAGATTTTGATCCAACATATCCACCACTCGAAAAATGGACAAACGATCATCCTAAAGAACAAGTACTTGGGAATCCACAAGATGGAGTCTTAACGAGAGCTCAACTTCGTGCAAAGAATGAGGTATTAAATACTCATCAAGAATTTTACATGTTCAATGTTTTTATTTCAAAAATCAAACCAAATATAATTAAGGATGCAATGGAACACTTTGATTGGGTTGTTGCAATACAATCTGAATTGGCTGAGTTTGAACAAAATAAGGTTTGGAGATTAATTCCTAAACCTGAAAATATTTCGATTGTCGGGTTAAAATGGATTTTCAACAATAAAACCGAAAAATACGGAAACATTATTTGAAACAAAGCCAAAATTTTTGTAAAAGGTTACTCACAACAAGAAGGAATAGACTGTGAAGAAACTTTCACCCCTATCGCAAGACTCGAGGCTGTTCGTATATTTCTGTCTTATGCAGCTCACAAAGATTTCAATGTATATCAAATGGATGCAAAGTGTGCATTTTTTAATGGAGAGCTCAAAGAAATAGTATATGTGGAACAACCCCCAGGTTTTGTCAGTAAAGATCATCCTGATTATTGTTATATTTTAGATAAGGCAATTTATAGGTTAAAACAAGCACCAAGAGCCTGGTATGCAACTCTTAACTCTTTCTTAAAATAATCGAAATTTAAACAAGGATCAGTTGACCCCATATTATTTCGAAAGAAAGTTGGGGATCATCTTATGCTTGTTCAAATTTATGTCGAGGATATTATTTTTGGCTCTACCGACCCTGTTTTATCTAATGAATTGGAAAATATGATGAAAAGCAAATTTGAAATGAGCATGATGGGAAAAATTAATAATTTTCTTGGTCTAAATATTCTTCAAAGCAGAGAAGGAATTTTTATCAACCAAGAAAAGTATACGAAGAATTTGCTTGAAAAGTTTGGATTGACGAATAGCACAAAATTATGAGTACCGATGGCAACTGGAACAAGGCTGACACTTTTGTTAGATAAACTAGTAGTTGACTTACTCTTTATGGAAGCATGATAGGTTCATTACTTTATCTCACAACAAGTAGACATGATATCATGTTTTCTGTGTGTAATTGTGCTAGGTACCAGTCAAATCCACGAGAACCACATCTTACTGCAGTCAAGAATATTTTTCATTATCTCAAAGGCTTAATTTCGTTAGGATTGTGGTATCCTTCGAAAACTGGTTTCTTTATTCTAGTTTTATCAGATGCTGACTTGAGAGGTTGCAATATTGATCGCAAAAGCACGAGTGGAGGATGTCAATTACTTGATAGAAAATTGGTGAGCTGGCAATCAAAGAAACAAACATTTGTTTCAATTTCGACTGCTGAAGCAGAATATGTTGCTGCTACTACTTGCACATCACAAATAATTTGGATTCAAAGTCAATTGCGTAATTATGCAACAAACATGAAGAGAATTCCTTTATATTGTGATTCTCAAAGTTCAATTTGTATTTTTCATAATCATGTGCAACATTCGAAGACTAAGCATATTGCTCTTTGTTACCATTCCATAAAAGATCATATAGAGGATGGTAATATTGAAGTGCATTTCGTGAAAACCACTGCTCAATTGACTGATATTTTCACACAACCGTTGGATGAAAAATCATTTGTGAGAACTTTAGGTGAACTTGGAATGGTCGAAGGGGGTTCTATTCCGAAAGAATAGCGATAACTGCACAGCTGTCAAATTCAAATGTTACTGTTCATAGTCAACGCTTCATTACCATTCGTCTTCGTAAATTGTAACTGAAAAATTCGTGTGTCCGGTACATTTCAAATATTTTCGTTAAGTAGTTTTTATTTTCGAAAAATTCAAAAACAACAAAAAGATTTTTCGTTCGTTTTATCATTTATTTTCGAAAAATTTAAAAACAACAAAAAGATTTTTCGTTTGTTTTGTCATTTATTTTCGAAAAATTAAAAAAAAAAAACAACAAAAAGATTTTTCGTTTGTACTGTCATTTCTTTTCAAAAAACACAAAAACATCAAAAAGATTTTTATTTGTTTTCTCTTTTATTTTTGAAAAATCAAAAATCACAAAAATATTTTGTTTGGTATTGTTTTGTCTTCATGTTTTCTTTCAGGTAACAAAAATGAATCTCAATGGTTAATGCTTGCAGTTCTAGGGTTAGGTAAATCCTTTGAAACTTTTGTACTAGTTAAGGTGTCCCTAGAAGCATATTGCAGCATGTTGACCATAGCCTCGAATGACTCTATGTGTGTTTACCGAAAGCCTTAATGAAATATTTCATACGAAAATTTCTTCCCAAGACAGGCTTATATTCACATTAGTCATATGAGCTACCTGACTCTTCCCACATGAGTTAAGAGTTTACTATTTTGTCCGTAATAACAGAGGTACACATGAATTCTTAAACCAATCTTTTTCATTTAAACATTCTTACAAGATCATACACAAAGACATATGCCCAAGAGGTCTTTGATCATACCCATCGAGACATAGACATATAAAAAAATCTATGTTTATGATCTGACATCATGAGACCGTGATGAAAGTGAAACCCAATTCTCAAGACTTTAAGGAAATGACGGGGAACTTTGTTCCAGTTTTTAACGTAACTTTTGTTTCTGTACCTAGATTTGAAACTCCAAATCATATTCATTTCGTATGAGTGACCTTGATTAAATTAACGAAACCTACGATGTTTGTTACCTAATAGGATCCAGCACAAAATTGTTTTCATGAATATGATTTCCGAGTGAGCTTCATTTGATTTCTAAGTCACTTTCAAATTAAATTCAAAGCATACTTGTCATTGACTATACTGGTCAAACAAGTGATTTTTGTTACAATTTCTCACCTTATGTTTTGGATGATATGTAACGAAGTCGTGTACCCACCATGAAGCCTTGAAAAAGAAGCCCTTCGAAACTTCTCATTAAGTTTTTGATTATAATTCACGAGAAAACACACAAGCAGTTGATTATCTCTCTTGATAATTAACAAAGAAACTTTTGCTCGGATTTTAATTGCTTTTGTGTCAAAATATTTTTGACATCACAAATCCGAAGTTTATATTTGTTTGATTCTTATCTTTTTCTTTGGCACACTACACTCATGAAATCCTTGAGGTTCTGAGTAATACCAACTCAGGCTGATGATTTTGAAAGTCTAGCACATGACTTCGCTTTAAATCCCAAAAGCGAAAGAGCCTAACCTCCATCCGAAGGTTGCTGATGGTTCATATTACATAGGGGGGAATAAACAGGAAGTGAGAAGTGACGTCTTGTATTCTATCCGGTTTTCAAGGAGAAGTGACAGTTATTATTTCACGCATGGGTACTTAATCGGCATAGTGGTGAGATTTTCAAGGTCCCACGTCGGTTTCATTAAATGCACATCCCACTTCAAATTCAATTATCAGGGTTACATATAAAAAGAAATTCAAGGGTTTGTTATCAGTTTACGCTTTCAGAAGAAAATTTCCCAAATTCTCTCTGAAAAATCCAATTGTTCTTCATACGATTTTACAACCCTAGTCATGGTTGATCAAACTAATGTTGATGCACCATCCCAAACCATAGAAGATGTTATGTCTTTACCAATCATGAAGATTCAAAGAACAAACTATCAAGTAGAAGCGGATGAATCTCTTTACCCTGAAGAATTGAAGATGTTGGTGGTTGCCCAGAAGAGTTGTGTTCTTTCGACAGTTATGTTTAATTCTTTTGCAGTACCTTTATCATGGCTTTCACAAGCAGGTTCTACTGCAACATACTCTAAAGCCCTAGATGTTATCACATTCAACTTGGTGAATGATAAGAAGGTACGATTGAAAAAGGAGTTTTTTTGTCTAATTTTGGATATTCCAAACTCTCAACCATTCACTGCTCTTTCGACTGTTCAAGTGAATCATATGTTCAATGAGATTGGCCATCAACCCCCACTCACCAAGATAAGCGATTATAAGAAATTTGGTCTTCCGACAGTTTGAAATTTTCTTTTTGGAATCCTTTTACGCTGCTTAACTGGTCGCAATGTGGGTCTTGACAAAGGAATAATGGATATTTATGCCATGGTTGCAGGGGTTTATTATGATATTCCCTTCGACTACTCAACTCAATTTTGGAAGAAATTTCAGAAGAGTGTCGAAAGGACCAATCTTGTGAAAGGTATTTCATGTGCACGATATTGGAGTCTTATCCTCAAATATTTCTATGATAAGAGCGAATTCAGGTGAATGCTGAGGAGGAAACTGCAGATTTCTTGAAGTATAATTTTCCTAAAGACGTGTCTGATGATGCAGCAATATTTTCGCATGTTACATGCATTCCTGATGCAATGTTGAAAAGAGTTGATCCATCGAATGTTGTGCTTATCGAATATATGACCACAATTGATCCCAAAGTTGAAACTAGGAAGTTGTTAACGAAAGAAGATGCAGGTCCTTCGAAGAAATCTGAAACAACAAAGAAAGATGTGATTGTCAATCCTGAGCCAAATGTTCAAGAAACGCAGCAACCGAAGTCTCCCAAGAAAACAACGAAGCCTGATGAGTTAGTTTCAAAAGCTATGATAAAACTTGTTGAACTTGTTGTTACAGAACCAACTTCAGTTACCATTCCTTAGAATACTGGAGTTTTTCGAAGATTAAAGCTGAAGTATGGTGGTTCTCACACTTCGAGTCTAGTTCGAAAACCTCATGTTACTCATCAAGGGGTAATTATGTGCGAAGTACCAACTCTAGTTTCTCCTCACTCAAAGAAACGAGGGGCTGAGGATATGGCCAAGAAAATTTTAAAGAAAAAGAAGAAGACGAAGAAGAGGCAGTTAGTAATTCCAACAGAATCATCCGAAGAAGAAGTGCCTGAAACAACCGAACCCAAACCTATTATAGAGCCTACTTCTCCTAAGAAGATTGTTGTCATACCACTAGAAGTTTCATCTGCGAAATCATCTCATGAGGAGGTACAAACTTCAGACATCACTGCAAACGTATCTGATACGGGTGTATATGGCATCATGGGTGAAGTAGATCTATCAAAGGAAAGTACTCAACCTCCACAAGGTACTCCGGTTACTGTTTCTGTTGAACCCATTACTAGTACCTTTGTTTCTTTACCTCCATTTATCATCCCTACTACTTCCACCACTGATTCACCTACCTTTCAAAACATCATCGACCAACCCTTTACATCCATTTTTTCATCTCAATCAACTGATCCACCCAAAGCGAATGATGAATCTGATAATGAAGAATGTGGATTTGGCGGTACTTTTGAAGATATGGTTTTTTATGAAGAAGAAGAGGATTTCCCTGACCATATGCTCATGTCCATGAAACAGTTCAAAATTATGAATAAAAAGTTGAATTCCATTATTCATTCTCAAGCAGACATAGGGGGAGGAAGTTCAGTGTCCAATTTTGAAATTGATGGATTGATGAAGGTTTTTGAGGCACGAATGGTGAGTAGAGTGTCTGGTATGATCAAAGACACAGAATCAAGAATCCTGGAGAAGGTAGATCATATTGATCAGACAACATAGTTGAGGATAAATTATTTCCATTCAAAATATATGGGAGTTTTCAAAGAGCTAACAAATGTTTAAAAAGAAAGACATACTTTGTTCGTTATGGATGTGAAGAAGGTAAGTGAAGATGTAAATTTGAAGCTTCAAGAGCTTCGTGACAACATGGTTCGTGAATTTACAGTTGTTCAGAATGATTATGCTACTCTGCATAAGAAAGTTGATATTATTTGTGATGCTGTCAAGAAATATGTTACGTTGTACGAAAGCTTGAGTCCTCAAATTACTCAACTTTCTACAACTGAAAATCAATAGTTTAGGCAGGTTATTTCGATGCTCAAAGATTAGAAGGAGTCGGTGCTCAAGCCTACTACATCTTCAATAATTACTCCAAAGTTTCTCTCACAAAAATTTACATAGTTCGAAGCCATTCTCCATAAACAACAAGCTCCTCTGTCAACCATTTCGAATCTTCCGCCAACCGGTGCCCCTCCTGTTCAGACAGGGGTGCAAGGGGGAGAAAAGAGAGTTGGAGAAGGTTCTCATGCTAAGGCTGAAGGTGATGCTTCACATGGAGAAGCTAAAGTTGTAGGCAAAGTTTATACTTCAAAAATTCCAACGACCAAGCCAATAATTTTAAGTGTTGGACAACTTACTTCAACTGTTGTAACGTCCATGCCAATCACAAAGTCAATCTCAAAGGGAATTGTAATTGGATCATCTACCGACAAGGTGAGGCTTCAAAAACAAAAGATGCTACATATAAATCAACAAACAAAGGCAAGATGATTGTTGTTGAAAAATCAAAAGAAGAGAAGAAAGCAGAGGTCGAAGAAGAGATTGAAAAGCTAGGGGTAGTTCAGAGCATAATGAGGCAAATGGCGAGTGATCCTCCAGGTTTGAACAAAGGAGATCCTGCCAAACATTATAACTATGTAACAATTGAAGCGAAGGTTGCATTCAATCACATGTATGCATTCAAAAAGAAACCAAAACAGAGTTATGGGGTTTCTAATGCAGACATGAGTCAGCTTGACTTTCCGATTAATGAGATGATGTTTCCGATGCCTCAGTTTAAAGTTTCGGATAATTCAAATGCGAAAATGATTACAACTACATGAAGCTTCGTTTTTATGCAATTTTTACAAAGGCTCCAAAGGAAATTTGGTCAGTGATAAAAATCAAGAAGGTTATAAGCATCAAGATGGACGTATTATTCCAGGATACGATGCATAATGTGAGATTCATTGTTGCAAGGGCGAATGGTCAGACTTGTGATTTTACAGTCGCAGATTTTCCTCTCATGAATCTGTATGACTTTATACAAGTTGCTCTTCTCCTAAAAGATAAAAAAATCCTCATACCTTCGAGAAACTGAACAAGATGTTTTTCGACTCGGAGTGGCTCACATCAAGATCTTCTTGGAGAATTATTACGAGTGTTTAGCACTTACATATGTGGAGCTAGTAACAGTGAAAGGGCTTGAAGTCAAAGTACCCATGGAGCCATCCAAGTCTCAGCAAGAATTGAAGAAATATGCTGATGGAGAAATATGTTTAAAGCCTTTCGGTATGGTATTTGCTGGTAAAGATAAAGCTGGAAATACGAAGAGATTGTTGTTCATGGCCGCTGAAATCAAAAGATATACAACGTCCCAATATACAAACTACATTGTTCGTATGAACAATTGTAAGAAAAATAATGAAGGGATAAGAAGGAGCTGAAGAAGATTATATCTTGGTAGACGGAAGTTCGAAGGGTGATGATGTATGTCATCCAGATTCTCACAACCTGAGAATTCGACTTCATTCCAAAGGGGGAGATTGTAAGAGCCGAAGACGTGTTGTAATGAGTCGAATACTTTACCCTTCGTGTACTTTGTAATGTATATACTAAAACATCTTATATGTTCAAAGCTTAATTTTCATGTCTTAGTATATTTTTTTTGTATACTTTCATGTTCCCTATAAATAGGGACTTTACTTAGGGTTAGATAAGAAGTCTTTACAGAACTTGTCTTTATTCTCTCTATAAAACTATGAAAGTATAATAGGGCTAAAACAAGATCATATTTACATCTCGTATTCTTTCATATCGTTTTTACTCTGATTTGATTCTCATTACTCGATTAACGATTCGTCAGTAATAATGAGACGATAATTGATGGGTTATGGCCATAAGAACATTCCTATGTGCACATACAAACCCTAATGCTTGGATCTAGGTTTCTATAATTAAACATCCATTGGATCCAAGACTTCTAATGGCTAATAGAGTATAAGAACAATATAAAATCGGAGTTAGAAGCTTACCTTGAAACACTTGTTTGATCTTCTTGTTCCTGGAGCTTTAGAGTCATAAATGTCACTCCTCTAATGGCTTACAAACACCAAATAGCAAGGAGGATGATTTGAGAAAGAGGAGAGAGGACAAAAATCGGCCAGGGTTCTTCCAAAGACATAGGTGCCGATTTCCCCACCCCAAGAGGTCTATTTATACTTGTAAGGCTCCTAGGGTTTCACCCTTAAACCCTAATTGGATAACTTAAGCCCTAAGCAATCCCAAACCTTTCAATGATAAGACTTGGACGATTTTATGGCTATCCTTAGCCCTAGAAATCGTCCACCCCTTATCCTTAAAGGATATATAGCCCAAAGTGTAACTATCAAACAATTGACAGTTTATACCCTCTTATTTAATTAATCTCTTTAAGTCACCAAATTAATTCCTAATTAATTTATGACTTATATTAATCAAATAATATTATTATTATTCCTTATATTATTCTCATAATATATTAATAATATTTATTCTCTCATAATAAATCACCCTGTCAAGTTGCTATGGTGAAGGCAACCCAAAAGGACCATGCACAATCGGGTCAAATACTTGCCTAATATAGTTGCAGCTTTAGACACTATTCCAACAGTCTTCCACTTCGATAAGTCTAGTAACTATATGCACAAGTACAATCCGATTTGCAATCGTAGCTCTCAAAGACACTGTCAAACTCTGATCTAATCAATTTTGTCCTTTAGATAAGGGATCGTACAGTCCTCTGTTAGATATCATGCTTACAATTCTATGGAATAATTAGTCTAGCATTTAGTTTCTCGATCTCCGATTTATTTGACATAGAACTTAATCGAACACATCAATTCAGTTCTGACTGGGCCCGACACATAAGTCAACTCAAATCATCGAGCGGCCGATATATCGCTTTTACCCTCTTAGGATAAAAGTTACAGATAAACTTCGACTTATATGCATTTGCGTATTCATTAATCAACTATAGACAACAATGTGTTTTATAACACCGAGTTACTGATGCGTTTTCGCATTATCAATGTACAATCAATTAACAACTAACAAACCATATATCTAGGTTTTAAGACCATATGATATTATCGTCTTGCGATCACCTTTTATATCACATTCCATACGGTGATTCCAGCAAGCGTGGGTTTGTTCCAATGCTCAAAACCAGTTCATAATCACTCATGAACGTTGCAACAATCTTTTGATATGTCTAATACCATTTAGACTATCTACACACCAATTCATGACAATCTTCATTCATATCTACTTCCGACATATAAACGATTGTGGACAATTTGAATAATTTGATTATTCCTAATAAACTCAATTATTCTGGAAGTCAAAACATGCAAAGTGAAACAATAGTTAAACAATTAACATAAGACAGTAACATTACTCATAAATAAAAATCCTTTATTTAATCATCAAATGTTAATTACATTTATCTATTACACGTTTCTAACACTATCTAATCTATGCTAATATCATCCTTCAGCCCAATACTCCTAGCATGCTGCAAGTGCTTAACCCTACTCAGTCCCTTCATAAGCGGATCTGCTGGGTTATCTTCTGATGATATCCTCTTCACTACGAGTTGTCCATCTTCTACACGATGTCTTATAAAATGATATTTTCTGTCGATATGTCGAGATCTTCCATGATCCCTCGGTTCCTTGGTCAAGGCAACCGCTCCTTCATTATCACAGAAAATCTCCATGGGCTCCTTTATGGTAGGTACGACTCCAAGATCACCAATGAAGTTCTTTAACCATATTGCCTCTTTCAACGCTTCGCTCGCTGCGATGTACTCTTATTCGCACGTTGAATCAGCTACGGTTTCTTGCTTGGAACTTTTCCAAGTTACTGCTCCTCCATTCAGGGTAAATACCCAGCCCGACTGTGAACGGTAGTTGTCCCTGTCGGTCTGAAAGCTGGCGTCACTATACCCTCGCACCTTCAAGTCATCACTCCCTCCGAGGACTAAAAACCATTCCTTAATCCTCCGAAGGTACTTAAGGATATTCTTCACCGTAATCCAATGAGCTCTGCCAGGGTTCCCTTGATATCTACTAACCATGCTCAAAGCAAAGGCTACATCAAGGCGAGTACAAGTCATAGCATACATGATTGAGCCAACTGAGGAAGCGTATGGTACTCAGCTCATTTCTGCTATCTCGGCTTCGGTACTCGGACTTTGAGGCTTACTCAACTTGGCATTACTTTGTATCGGTAATTCTCCCTACTTTGAGTTTTCCATACTAAAACGTTTTAGTACCTTCTCTAAGTAAGTGTTCTGACTAAGTCCTGTTAGTCTCTTACTTCTTTCTCTTACTATCCTTATTCCTAAAATATAGGAAGCCTCTCCGAGGTCCTTCATAGCGAAGCACTTCCTGAGCCAGGACTTAACTTCCTGCACAGTCGGGACGTCGTTTCCTATGAGTAATATGTCATCGACATATAGAACGAGGAAGCTTACTATACTCCCACTGACTTTGACATATACACACGATTCATCTTCGCTTCGTACAAATCTAAACTCTTTGACTTTCTCATCGAAGCAAAGATTTCATCCGCGAGATGCTTGTTTAAGTCCATAAATGGACTTCTCAAGCTTACACACTCTATTCGGATGCTTCGGATCCACAAACCCCTCTGGCTGAGCCATGTAAACATCCTTAGCCAACTTCCCGTTAAGGATAGCGGTCTTGACATCCATTTGCCAAATCTCATAATCATCAAATGCGGCAATTGCTAGCATCACTCTAATAGACATTATCTTCGCAACTGGTGAGAAGGTCTCATCATAGTCAACTCCGGGAGTTTGCACCCAACGGTCTTACATCCGGGCACATTGTCAACCAAATTCCAAACTTGGTTGTCATAAATGGACTGAATCTCACTGTCCATTACCTCTTTCCACTTTGCAGACTCCGGGCCTGCCATGGCTTCCTTATAGCTATTAGGTTCATCAAGATTTATTAGTGTACCATCACTAA